ACCCTGTCTGTCCTCACGTACACGCGCGGCCTTCCAAGAGAGAGACATTCAAGTTCTCCCAAAAGTCACTTCCATATCTTCTGTCACGATCCCTTCCGTGTCCCCCCCGGCCTTTTCGGTGACGACACTGCATCGGCGACGACTCGGCCCGCAGTTGCAACACGCGGCATTACACTCTCTGCAACCGCCCTCGACAACTCTGACCCTCCGACACCAAGCCTCCCGAACGCCTGTAGCTGCATCCTCAAGCTTTATGATTTCCGTATCGTCAGCCCCCGCGTGAGAGACCGCACCATGGCGCGACCCATGGGGTCAGTCCGTCTGAAGAAGGCCAACCCCATCACCCTTCTTCTCGGTGCAATCCTCAGCATCTTCGTCATTGGCTTCCTCGTCCTGCCCATTGGGTCTTCGTCCTCCGACTCGGACTCCAAGAAACCCGCCAGCCCGGCCGTCCACCACCTCTCCCCACCGACAGCCCCCTACCGCAAGGTCGCCGAGGCAGACAGGAAACCGCCGCCTGTCGTTCGCTATGACCTCAACAATGTCACCATCACGAGCGACCCCATCGGCAACCGAGAGTCCATCCTCATCCTGACGCCCATGGTGCGCTTCTACCAAGAGTACTGGAACAACCTCCTGCGCCTCGACTATCCCCATGATCTCATCACGCTAGGCTTCATCCTGCCCAAGACCAAGGAGGGCAATGCCGCGACAACGGCGCTGCAGGAGCAGATCACCCGCACGCAGAAGCGCGGCCCCGAAAAGGATCGTTTCAAGAGCATCGTCATCCTGCGCCAGGATTTCGAGCCAGCCATCACGTCGCAGGACGAGAGCGAGCGCCACAAGATGCAGAACCAGAAGGGCCGCCGCGCCGTCATGTCCAAGGCGCGCAACTCGCTCCTCTTCACGACGCTCGGGCCCCAGACGTCCTGGGTGCTCTGGCTCGACGCCGACATCATCGAGACACCGCCAACTCTGATCCAGGACCTGGCCCGCCACGACAAGCCCGTCATCGTCCCGAACTGCTTCCAGAAGTACGTGAACGCCGAGACGAAGAAGACGGAGGAGCGGGCCTACGACTTCAACAGCTGGCAGGACAGCGAGATTGCGCAGAAGCTGGGTGCCGAGATGGGCCGCGACGATATCCTGCTCGAGGGGTACAAGGACATGCCGACGTACCGCTCGCTGATGGCGTACATGGGACAGGAGGGCAAGGATGAGCATTATGAGATTATGCTGGATGGGCGTTGGCGGCACGGCGTTTGCTCGTCAAGGCTGATGTGCACCGGGATGGCGCCATGTTCCCGCCTTTCGCCTTTTATCATTTGATTGAGACGGAAGGCTTCGCGAAGATGGCCAAGAGGTTAGGATGGCAGCCATACGGTCTGCCCAACTACAAGGTGCGTATCTCATGTCGTGACTCTCCCTGATGCCGTGGCTGACGAGCACCCAGGTGTACCACTACAACGAGTAGGGCGTTCTTGAAAAGCTGGTATACCAGCATGCATTTCCACCGATGGCATCTTCGCCATATTCCATCATGACAGGGAATGATACGGCTCGAAGGCCATGGCCTTCGCTTTACTCGCCACAGAACTCATAGTAGACTCGTTGAGTGTATTCCCTGCCATAATCTATGGTCACTTGTAGCATTGGCCTAAAGGCCCAAAAAGCGGAGGGGTTGGCGTTTAGTTATTGTAGTATATCCGCATCACTCACTCTGGAAGGGGATAACATGGGGTTCAAGATCGGCCGGCCACACGCGCGAAAGAGAGCGGGCCTCCCCCTTTCCACATGTAAAGAAAAACATTTGCCAAAAACAGGACCGGGAGGTTAAGGCTGGTCGGATCGTCTTGTGTGCAATTTGCTGCCAAAACATTTTGGTATCATACTTTGCTTCTTGCGGAAAGCTTCCTCAGAGACCAGGGAGTGAGACACGATGTCAATGCAAATCTTTTTTGTTTTTCAGCACCGCGTGATTCGCACTGATGGCATCTCGTTTGTGCACTGGCTGATTGTATATCATGAAATCGTTACACGACCTGTTCACAACGTTCAGTGCAAGCCAAAATTGAACCTCCAAACGCCCAATATACATCGGCGATTTAAGCCCTTTCCCTTGGCCCATCAGCCTCGTCATCCAGCGCCAAGCGTCCTGTCCCCGTGCCGTCCCGTCCCATCTCGACTCTCTGCCCGACAGGCATGTCTTATGTACCATTATACCGGCCCCCCTCTTCGCCGATCCAGTATTCCACCAGCCCCTTTGCACCGACCGCGTCCCCTGCCCTCAGCAGAGCCGCGACGTCGACGTTCAACGGGCTGTCCACGCCCGGGTAGCCCAGCAGCGTCCGTACAGCCCTCACGCTCTCGAGCACGCTATATGCCGGCGTCCACGCATCCTTCAGCAGGTCGAGGCAGATCTCGCCCGAGTCCAGAGCAACATTGGCGTGCACAATGGGCGTCACGAAACGGATCGTTGGCGGGCGGAGGGGATACGTCGTTGGGACCTCAATGGAGAGTAGCCAGCGTCCATCTGAACACACACCCACACACGTTAGCAATCGCCCATAGCCCGACGTGCGCGCCCTCTCGACCCTCCCGCCAGCCCCCTCGAGACCGCGTCGACCAGAAAAAGGTTGCGAAGAGGGTAGCAAGAACAAGGGACAGCAAACAAGCAACAGCACGTACCGTCATAACCTCCCCCGATTCCCCGCCCGTTGATCACGGCCTCCCAGTGCAGCAGGTCCTCGTCCCCGACGGGTCCCAGTCTCTCGACGCCCCGCTCGTCGACCTGCTCGCGTCGCCAGACGTCCAGTTCCTTGAGCAGGCGGCGCGTGGCATTCCTATGTGTGGCCGCCGCGGAACCCTTCTCGGGTAAGTCCTGAATCTTCCACGACATTGGGAAGGGGGGTGGGTGGTAGTGGTGATGGGGAAGCTGGGACCGTCGCTCGCCTCGTCACGGAAGAGGTTGTGTCCTGTCCCTAGGTAAGTGAACAAGATTTTCAAGATTCCGGGATGGGCCCAGTGTCGTTTCGTGTGATCGCAGGAGCTTATGGCGACGAGTATGAATTGTTGATGTCGATCGGGATCTTTGAAAGCTTAGGCTGTCTGAGCTTCAGAGCGGGCGCCGCAGCCCATTCACGTCCGAGTACATGTGCTCTGTCCCGTCCAGTGGGGCCCGAGCTTGGGGGTCCTGAACCGAGGCACTTTAACACCGGGGGCCTACGTCTAACGAGGACATCTTGCACGACATCGCAGGGTGGCCAGAAAAGGATGAAAAAAGCACAGCTTCGTTATTGATTGTTATGTTCATTAATATTTGTCTACGTGAGAGTCTGTGCCCCTGTCCATCATCTAAGTGGCCGACCTTCGACCGTGCGGAAATGTCCGGTCTCGACACATCGAGTGCGTCTACATCTCCTCACCCTTCCCATCCCCAGTTCCCCTCTCCAATGCCCTTCCCCAAAAAAGCCCGCCATCAGTAAAACTGTATGTTCGGTGAAAGAAAAAGTAATGCGCAGAGGCCCGTCGTCTCTCTGCCACTGTTCTCCAACGTGCCCCAACCTAGTCAATTAACCGGGGAGAGACGCCATGAGTCCCCTGGCTACTGCTGCTCATGCTGTCGTGAACGCTGCCTTCTCGGCCATCCACAAATAGGATTCAAAGATGATTTGGCCTTGCTCAATGAAGGCGTCGCGCCGAAGCCAGATCATCCACTGCTAACGATCTGGTGGGAAGCTGGATGAAGTACGTCATGTTGAATTCCGCCCTGGGAAATCGGAAGCTGAAAGTGTACAAGTGATCCATAGACAGTTTTGATCAAGATGCTTCAATATGGCTCAGGGTGTAAGTCGGTCACTGCAAGAGAAGCGACCGTCGACGTTTTAGTCGGCCAAGGGGCGTGCGAGTGCCTAGTGCCCTACGTCTCAGACTCGTCCTTGGCCTTCCAGAACTGGACCATTCGACTGAGACGCTTGGCTCGGCTAACTTTTTGCTTCTTTTCCGCTTCGCTGTCAACTGGAACCTCTTCGGAAAGCTTGCTCCGCTCGCCATGGGAGCTACTGATCAGCCTGCTGAGACTTGCCAGGCTCGATCGACGACGGCCGAATGCTGCTGATGACACCGAAACGGGTCGTTGGTCAGGCCGGAAAGGCATCTGGGCACGCGGTTGAGGCATCGGCACAAATGTGCTATCCCTGGTCATAGTCGAGGTGCTCGACGTCAGCGAAGGCGGAATGTCGACAGAGCATCTAAGCTCTGGGCCAGGTTCCCCGAGAAGTAACGACTGAAAAGTGTTCTCCTCGTTCACCGAAGATGGTGCTGTGGATATGCGTTGGGCATCGTAAGACATCGGCGACCGCGGAGAAGGGAAAGAGGACCCATGGCTCATTGAGTAAGGGCTTATGGGAATGTTGGATGGAGTGGCCAGGTGCAGAGGGCTGACCTCTACTGGTGCCAAATCGGTGTGGCCCAGGGCATGCCTTGGCGAAGGCGTCGCAGACCCAGTCGAATCGGACGTCTCCTGCAACACAGCTGCGGAACGGAAGTCGACGTTACGGGGCTCCTCAACGATGACCTGCTCGTGAAGGGAGTTCATCGATCGCTCGGATTTCATGCTGGCTGCATGTCTCGTCCGGCCAAATTCTTCATCCTGCACAGCAAGTGCGTCCATCAGTGGGTTCTTCTGGACAATGATGGCGGGAGGAGTGTCGTCGTCGCTGCAGGTCTCGGCAGCATCGCTCCTGTTATCCTTCAATGAGTCTTTGCTGGTGGGTAGAGACGACGTTGTCTTGCCGTCTTCGCTGTCATCATCGTCGTCCTCCTCTTCATCCTCCTCAAAGACGTCCGCCATGGTGGAGCTGCTGCCGAATCTATTGATGCCGAAGCGGCTTGCCTCAAAGGGAACCATCTCGGGGGCACTCTCGGCTCTGCGATGGTAATGCATTCCCGGGCCGCTGAAACCCTTCATGCCCTGGGCACTATGAAGTTGACGCTTCGCGGAGCCTGCAGCCTTCTGTGCTGCATCCCATTCCGCGCTGTGGGGAACAGGCGTATTGAATGGACCGAGCGCAGCATCCAAGTCAATCATTGAAAAGGCCGCGTCGTCCTCGGGTGTCGAGACCGAGCGAGGCTTCCAAGGATGAGCAGTCTGGTTCGGACTCGACGAGTCGGTAATGGTTACCGTGGGCGTCACAGGCGAGGCAACTGTTTCCACAGCGGATTCGTCTTTTCGGTATTCAAGCTCAGGCTCGCTGTGAGTAGAAAGTTGATCAGGCAGACAATCCGTCTCGCCCTTCTTGTCCCTGGGTTTGGACTTGGGCTTCAAAATGGACCCGGCCCAGGCTTTGACTTTTTTCTTCTTCTTCTTGGACTTCTTTGACGGCTTCTTCGAGGCAGTGGGTAAAGGCCCATCAGTCTCCGGTGCGACGTTAAGTACCTGGTCGGAAGAGTTGGGGCTCGCATCTGCTGTGGCTGGGACATGTTCTTGCTCTCGAGGACTGACTGGCACCAAGCGGGTCGGGGAATGGGCGCCGGCAAATGGATCTAGACCAAAGAAAGACCATCGTTTCGGGGTCTTCGTAGGACTTGGCTGAGAAGGAATGTTGATGGCCGGGTCGGGTACGTGCGTCAGGGTTGGAATGGAGTTCCGTCTGCGAGGGGAGCTACCACTGTGGTTAACGGATTGAATGCTTTGAGACCGTTCCAATATAGCACCGGCAGTGCTAGGCCTGGATTCCTGTGGAGGAAGTGAACGTGTCCTACGGGGCTCGACAGGCGCCACAATAGCAGGCTCTTTTTCTAGCACAGGCTCATCGTTCATGGAAATAATCGATGAGATGCTACCCGAAACAGAGTGGCCTCCCGGTCGCGCAGTGGCGGTGCTCGACGCGTCGCTAGAGACCAAAGAGAGGGGGCGGGGAATGAATTCCAGGGTGTCTGAGAATCCGACCCGTGCGCGCGGGACTGGCCTTGAAGCCCGCGGTGTTGTCTGAACTGGGAGCTCAGGAGCTGCTAGCTCGCTTTCCACAGGGGTACCAGAAGTAGACGGCTCAGCCGTTGGAGTCGCGGGCACAGGCAGTTGTACTGGGGACATCTCTGGCGACTCTCCCGGGCGGCGGCCAAAGTCTGCCGGGCTGTTGGGCGCGCTGCTGCCCCGGAGGGCATTGGCGGGCTTGGGAGGCTGAAGGATAAGGGTGAGGTCATGGCTGGAGATGGCAGCTGAGCGGCGATGTGCGTGTCCACGTCGGCGGCCACCCGCTGGGGGCTCGCCGAGCTGTGGTGGCTGAAAGGCAGGAGAGGCGAAGCCGCTCTCCGACTTCGTCGGGCTGGTGCTCATGACGGCAATGGACCCCCCTGAACGAATATTACCACCCACGAACTCACTTCCTCCTCGCCGGTGGCCGTGTCCACCAGGCTTTGATGGCGACGGGATCTGTCGAGGCGACAAAGGCGACATGGGAGGACTCAGTAGTGATACATTGTTGTCTGCTGCCATGGAGGCACCCGGGTTGAAGCTGAAGTCAGGCAGTGCTGGGGAGCGTCTGGGTCTGTCGGCGCTCTGAGGGCTGTTGTCGTTGAAAGCAGAGCGACTTGGACTTTCAATCGCAGACTGCGGCCTCCGGCCCGAGGCTCGAGAGTATGAAGAAGGAGCGGAGGAGGAGCCCGGCCGGGCTGGGAAAATGAAGGGGGGGTTCGGAGGTGGCATGTTTCGAGGGGAGGTTTGGTCTTCGTCCAGAGCGGACTGCGAATGCGTGAGGTCTTCCATAGGAAGCATTGAAGGCAAGCGCTGGGAGGCTGTCTGGTCGAATTCAAAGGAGTTGAGCGTTGTGACAGTTGCATCGATTGCCCTTTCGGGACCGAAAGCAGTTGCCATCATGATCCAACCGCTCTTCGGCACCTTGGACGTCGAGCGACTTAGGCGGACATGAGCGGAGGTTGGACACCGATAGCAAGTCGGTTACAAGCTCGCGGGGAGGTTCGAAACGTCTATCGAGTGGCAATGCGAGGCTGCTTCCTGGCAGGTCGACTGCAGATTGTACTGACTTTGTCGGGAGGAGAAGGGATCGCTCCAGTTCAGAGGGTTTTGAAGCACCTGGTGAGGCAAATTGCCCGTCAGCGAACACATACAGTCAGATGGTCACAAGGTGACACAACGAGGTAAGCAAAGGAAGAGATACGCACAGGAATGCGGTGATGTACAGTGTCGTCGACGGCAAGGGTGATGGATGGATGGCGTAGGAGCAAGTTCACGGTCTGATGTTGGGATGGACCGTTGCTTCGATCGCCTAAGTGTGCAGGCGAGCAAGACAGAAAGACGAAAATGCTGCGTATCAAGAATAAGGCAGTTTGCTTGTGCTGGGTTAAAGGAATGGACGGTCCGCAAGCAAAAATCTGACGACTTTGCGGGACCTCGAAGACAACGAATTGATGCGATTGTTGCTTCGGACGATGGTGGTGTTGGGTTGGAGATGGTGGGTGAGACGAGACCAGCGGCGTGCGAATGGAGGAGACCTGGAGCGTGAGGAGGGAATTGGGTATTGGCAGGAGCCAGCGTTGGAACTGTGGGGACAGCAACCGCGCGACCGTGACCATCCTGGTCCATGTCCACACCCAGGCAAAGCAGGCAACAGAAGTAGGTTCCTGGGTGGGTCTCACCCATTACCCCTGCAGCCACGCCCGCACTGCCCACTGCCCATTGCCCACTGCCAGCATCCACTGCCCACACCCTCTTGAGGGCCCCTGTCCACTGCCAGGAGGGGCTTGGACAGGGTTATCGAAGCAGGAGGGAAGCAGGGACGGAGGTACTCGCGTCCAATGTACCCCCCTACCCATTTGGGACAGCTACTCTGGCACTTCTGCGCCTTTTCCAGCTGGAGGCGGCCACACTTGGTGCTAGGGGCCTGTGACTGGCCAGCCTGCACGGCTTCGTCTCTTCCCAGTGCATACCATTTGGACTGAACCGGCAAGATGAAATCTTTTGTTTCTGTGTAATATGCATTGATGAATCGACGCATCACCCGCTAGATGCTGATACTGAAGAGGACGTCGTGGACGATTCAACACATGATTGCGGTGTCCTGACGAGGCAGCCTTACAGAAAGCTGTCATAATCCAGAACCTACAAACCACCCCTGCTATGTATATGTAGTAGGCAATCTCGAGCGTGACGGAGACGTGTGAGGCACCAATTGCCCACACCTCACCGTCAGAGGGAGAACTCGCACAATCCGCTCCGAATGATGAGGCATGACCAGGCTTGGAGCGACACGACACACAGCCATATTCAATACTCATTTCATGATGCCAACCGAAACATCTGCACCAACCACAATGCAGCAGATGCTGCCCGCCACGGCCTCTCGTGCTGAAGACTTGCGCGTATTTAACCCCCAAAGTTGGTTCATGTTGTCAGCCTGTACTAACCATCACATTCACAATAACTGATCGTCGTTAGTACGAGACGAACAAGATACTAACACTACGCAGCCGCCTTTCAGCCGCCTCCCTCAACCGCAAACACGGCCGCCATCGGCCTAGCCGCACACCGTCTGCCACTAAAAGCAGGACTCGGTTGATGTGGCATCAAGCGATCCATAAGCCACCCAAGCGACAGGCCCGGCCTCGGCCAAACACCTCTTTGGTATTTCAAGTACAGATTGAAGTTCAGGCTGGATGGCGCGACGATGGGGGAGGAAAAAGAACGGTACCAAAAGGCCGAGTCGTCTCGTTGGCGGTCTGTCTCGCCTCCTCAATATCCCAGCGTCCCGCTGTCTACATGTGCCTCCAGCGCCAAGCTCACTAAACTTGCGTGCAGGAGGCGTCTTCATCTCCCTGTCGGCGGGGCCAGCCTTTGATCGCAAGGTCCTGCTCCCGCAATCGCTGACGATGAGCCAGATCTCGCGGTCATGTTTCTTGCTTTTGTCTGCTGCAGACGTGACCCGCTCATTTCAGAACAAAGCCACGTCGAAGTTCTGGAGAAGGAAACCAACATTGCCTTCATCTTCTTTTTGCACCAATCCGACCTCCCTTTGCAATGCAGTGGTATTAACGCAGATGAGTTACAGCAAAGCTGGTTGCCAGAGTGGCCGTTCGCGTCAGGGGAAATCCTCGCGGCCAGCGCCGTCAACAGGGGGCTTGGTGGTTGCAGTACGAAGGGCAGGGCCATCTCCTAGACTGCAGTGGCCGTCCGAAATTGTGCTTTCAGTGCACTGGGAGCCTACTGAATGTTTACCCATCAGCGCACCGGTTCGCTAACTGGACAGAGGCGGCGCCGCCTTGGGCGGGTTTGAGGTGCAGCCCGCGGCACCCCGGTCAACGCGCGTGCAGGGACGTAATCGGGGCTTATTCGATCACCTGCGGAGGGACTTGATCACGAAGTACCTGATCAAAACAGGACCTAGGTAGGTACCCTTCCCGTATTTGATCCCTTTGGTCTACAGGGCGTGGGGAGATCCCTGATGCCTAGCGTATCAACACACAAGGTGCTGTAAGGGAGGAAGTGAGCCCAGCGCGCTCTGTTCGCACGCGGACCAAGAACATAGGTATGCGCGGGAGACGTAATACGGGCTGCGGCCCCGAGTTCATTCCCGTCACTAGGTCGAAACCGAGGCTAGAATTGAGCCCGAGTGCCAGTTGTATCTGCACTTGGGGATGCGACAAGTGCAGGCGCGCATACAGACGGGGATGCTGGCATTGACAAGTCACGCCTGTGCTCCCGCGGCTGGGTGCCACAACGGGAGCTGTCAATGAACGTAGACATGCCCGACTCAGCCCATCACCCTCAATTGTTTCAAGAGGCTCAAACCTACCCATTTTGGGAGACATACTTTGTCGTGTTCAATTTGCACAACATGGTATATGCCAACGGTTGCCCCTCTGCCCTGGAGAGTGCGCGCTGATGTGGCCTTCACTCCTTGAGCCCCCTCCCCTTCGGATGGACATGGGGGCTGTCAACAACGTTCCGCCCCTCTCCCATTTGGGCAGATGTACTGTCGGACCTGCAGAGGCGCCTGCAGGGGTGCCAAGTGAGGCCGCGGGGTGGCAACTGGCTGGCCCATACTACAGCGCACAAATGCCCAAGCACCTAACCTAGTCAATGGAAGCCCATGGGAGGGAGCGATCAACTGTTTTCCTGCTGCAACACAGTGACAATGGTTGGCAGCCCAACGGCCAACAGGGAAGAAACGTCGGTGCTGATGCGAAGAAAACCGCCCGTGCCCTGCGCTTGCATCTCATCTTGCATTTGTCTGGAGCGGGTTGTTTGCTGCCGGCCGAACCGTCCCATCACTGCCTTCTTCAGGGAATCCAAAAGAGGCCGTTGCGGAGTCGAAACATCAGAGATCTGCCTTGGGGCTCCTGTGATTTACTTTCCCCTCCTTGGCGCACCCTCACGGAATCTCCACCACCAGGGTCTCTGCTGCTGCTCCATTCGTATAGTCCTGGTCCGTCTTCCGAACAAGTTGAAGCCGATGCATGCCAGACGGACGGACGATGTAGGCACGGCGTATTTCGGTTTCGCGAATGAAGAACGCTGATCTGCTGGTTCTTTCCAGGCGTCTATCCATCCACGGCCCCCTTCTTTTTTCCAAACGTGGAGATCTGAATCTGACCATCTGACGTGCCCCATTCTAAGAATAATTTGCGTTTGACCTTGGCCTCACACGAGCAACGAATCAGACAGGCCCGCTCTCTGCTTTTCGACGACTCCTTGCGTGGACCAGCCTCGGGGCAATCTCGCGTGTTCGGCTACCCAAATGAACAGGAGGCCGCTTTTAGCAAGACCCCACGCCCAGCTCAATTAAATGAATCACGGCCAAGGGATGAGTCGGCCCCATGTGCCATCAATCTTGGGGCCGCGATACTGGAAAAGGGATAATTATCGTATTTCTATTGCTGCATCGAGGGACATGAACGTGATCAACGCGACTCCATTTTCGCGCATCTCCAACGCCGTCACCCGGTCCTGGTTTGCTGACGAACTTTGCGTGACATATTGTTTTTGTTTGCATAGCAAATTGGTGTGAATGATGCTTAATTTGCGTTTCGCGGGACCCGGATCCCTCCCATCGTTATGAGTGACGCACATAGGGGCCCGGCAGCTTGGGAGGACAGCTGTCGTCATTTCCGGCGTGGGGTGTGCCACCCCATAAGACAAGACTACCGGCGGTGTATCTCCTCTGCTGTTTCTGCAACGCATTGAGGCTCTGGTGGTTTGCCTGCCTGTGTCAATAGCTCACCGCGCGAGACAGAGATTCTCGGGTGCTGAGCGATGACTCTGACTGAGCTCGAGCGTCTATCAGCTTCCGTGGTTGCAGATTCTGTGCAACAGCACAAACGCGGGGTGCATGCTGCATTCTTTCTGGCAGATGGACCTCGTCCCTTGTCCTTCCGTCTGTACGATTGTGCGTCATGTGGCCTCCTTCGAAGGCCGCGGGGAAGAGCTAAGGTGACGACTGGGTATAAAAAAAACCCCTTGGTGCACAGAATGTGTCATCCCACCATGCTCTCGACGCCTTGCATTGACGGAGCCCCTGACGTCACGACAGACATAACACACGGTACGGCGGAAGTGAAACATCGAGGTGTCTTGCGATGAGAAGCCGTTGGTGCCGGCGCCTGGGATGGCATTTGAAATCTGACAACGATCGAGACACTCAATACTCATCGGGCTCGCCAGCGGGCTGGTGGATACAGATTACAGATTTCGGGTTCAGCAACCGACATGGAGAATGTGGGGGTGGGAAGAGGGGCGGAAATCAGACCCTGATTTCACCAGCCACATTGGAGGAAATTTGGTGGGTCACACAGCCACTCTTTGTGGGTTTTTGCCGAACTGAGCAGACAGGTCTGATCAGGGACTGACAGGACTGGGCAGAGAGGGGAAGGGCCCTGCTCCGTCCAGAGTGGGGTTGCTCTTCCCCCTCAGCCTTGCATGGCCGCCTCGCGCTTTTGCGATCCGAATTTTTTTGGAAGGAGGGAATTGCTAGTCCCAGCTGTCGCCTCGCCTGCCTGCCTCACCCTTTGCACACGACGAGCGCGCCGACTCTCCTGCAACCCTCCAAACCTCGACCGTATAGTCCTCAGAGGTTGCTTTTGAATTCACAACAAAATGTCTACAACTGAAGCCGCTCAGGCGGTGGCGCCTGTGGCGACCAAACAACAGGGCATGCGTGTCAACGGCAAGCACTGGCTGCCGCCCAAGGCAGCGTTCCGCCCCACTGGCGGCCTCACCTCGTTCGAGAAGCGCCGACAGGAGCGCGAGGCAATGAAGGCAACAAAGGCGAAGGAGAAGGAGATGAAGGACGAGAAGGAGGCTCTGCGCCAGGTAGGCCGACACTGGTGTTGTGCTGGGTCGTCGTAGGGGGTGAGAGACAGCCGCTGACATCCTCACAGCAAAAGGTTCAGGCAATCAAGGACAAGCGGGCAGCCAAGGAGGAGAAGGAGCGGTACGAGAAGATGGCGGAGAAGATGCATAAGAAGCGTGTCGAGAGGTTGAAGAGGAAGGAGAAGAGGAACAAGCTCATCAACTCGTGAGGGTATGGTCCGACTGTATGAAATGCACCGGGGTGTAGGGGCATGGAGAGACAGTGCTGTGCAGAATCTCGACATTGCATACGATCCTGATTTAGAGGAGGGGAGGGGATTCATCGGAAGGCGTTTGGGTATGCGACGAACACACCCAACGCCTGCTGCGGCACCTTGAGAGGATCAGGCTCCCGCCGAGACACAATCCTCATCTCGTGGAAGGGGGACCCCAGATTTCTGGAAAAGGGTCGCACTGTTCGTCAGAGGATGTCTGCGATTCGAGGGTCGGCAAGCTGGGATAGGGAAAAGGAAACACATTCGGCGTCATCTGGGAAAATTGATAGTCGAGCAGAAACCTCAAGCCGGATGAGGGGAATCGTTCAAAGCATATCAGGGATAGAGGAGGGCGTTCATGATTCAGCATGCAACTTTCGAATTCCAAATTCCAAATTCCAAACTCCAAACTTCGCACAATCAAACATCAAATGAACCGTCTCAGCTTCATCCTCCCTGAAATGCAGTCGCCTCTGGACTGCTCCCCGGTTCTCAGCTCAAGCAAAACCGGAGCTTCGTCCGGGTTTCAACATGAGACTGGTCCGAGCCCTTCCCGTCCTCGTAATTTTGTGATGGGTGCGCCTGTGGTGGAGGTTCAGGTGTAACCGAGTTCACAGCACATCCCTACAGCGCTGAGCGGCAGCAACAGCCTGGAAGAAGGTACGTCACTGCACTGGCCACAGATACCACCCCACCACGCCCAAACTCTCTTCGACTTGCCCGTCCCTCCGAGCCAGTGCCAAACCAGCGACTAAGGAACCAAGCAACCCAGGTTCCACGCAATCCGACTCGCCTGATGTCACAACACGAGCGAGGTGCGACCCGACGACACTATGGCTAGCGACTCGCCGCCTCTGCTCCACCAGCAGCAGCAGCAGCCACTGCCGCAATCGTCGTCCAAACCGTCGCGCGCTCGACACCAGCTCACCCGCTCCATCACCGAGTTCGCGCCACCCGTCAAGCTGCTACATCACCATCACCACCAAGGGCATCACCACAGCAGACACCATAGCCGCCAGAAATCGACGCAAGTCGCGAGCGACGATCGTGCGCCCCAGTCTGCCGGCCCCTTGCTGTCGAACCGGGGGCGACCGTCGCTCGACGTCTCGAGGGCCGAGACTGGCACGACACTGGGCAGGGGCGTGAGTCCCGAGCCCGGACGGAAGGACGGCATGCTTGCTGCCCCAGAAGTAAGGCGGGACGTGGAGAAAGAAGTCAAAGAGCAGAACGAGAAGGCCGAGGCTCGTGTTACGTATGTTTTTGTCACTGCGGCGTGGTGCTCTGTTACAGTGTGGTCGGTTTTGCTGATGTTTTCTCGTGGTTTACAGTGGCTTGAAGAAGTCTCTCGCCGACTTGAGCGGTTTCTCGAACACTACGACACGGCAGCTCGACGAGACGTACTATGCCGTCTTGGAGAAGACAAGCGCTCTGCAGGTCACGGTCACGGCCATGAGGGAGCTGGCGACACTCTCACGTGAGATCAGGGGTGTATTTGAGACGGAGTCACAGGAAATGGTGCGCGATGTGCAGGCTCAGGTGGACTCGCTCGGCCAGTTCGAGGAGCAGAAAAAGCGCATCGTAGATCTCCAAGGGCGAATCGAGGCTGGGAGAAACAAGATCCAGGCTCTCAGCGGCCGCGTCGACGTGGTCAAGGAGAGGATCGAGGGGTGGGAAAAAGCCGACCGTGAGTGGCAGGAGAAAACACGGAAAAGGCTGAAAAGCCTGTGGATTGTCATGTCCATCGTTTTCGCTCTGTTGGTATTGCTCTTGGTTGGAGCAAAATACGCTGCACCTGACACTATGGCGGTCGGCAAGCACTCACTGTCAGGGGATGACGCCAACAGAAGCCATTATGCTGGTGCTGAGGGGTCTGATGAGGAGCCTGGCCTGGGATTGTGGGAAAAGAGGACGGAGGTACAAGAGGATCGCCTTCACTTCTTGGACGAGCTGTAGTTACATGGTGGAGTCTGTTTTCGTTTCGTGGACCGGGTTTTTCCTTTTTTCTTTTTTTGTATTACGACGACGCAACATCTCGAGGGCAGGACATCGTCTGCCACAGCGAGAAATGATACCCCATGGTCTTTCTTGAAGCTTGCGAGTAACATTCGCGTAACAGAGGATGGTGGCGTTTCATTGCAGAGCCGTGTGGTCCGGTCAGACCTGCACGGCTACCTAGGTGGAGCGGACGTTGACCGGAGCTAACTCCAGGCATCCCATCGCATATGAAGAGGTGATCTTGTAGGACGGAATTAGCGCTCGGCAGTCCCTGATAGTTGCTCTTTGCAGGTGTGCTACAGCTGTTGGCAAGCAATCCTAGCTCAGCCGAAGCCAGCACAGAAACATAACCGGGCCGAGGCCTCACAGTCTGCCCCGGGATCTCTCCCCGCGGTGAACGACGGGTTCCGTTGGAGGGAGTCCTGCACATGCAGGCATCGTCTGCGTGTAGACGCCTTGGAGCTAGCGCTTATACCAACCCACCATTCCGAGATTCCAGTCGCGCTCCGTGGTTTACACCTTGGCTGTAGGTGTTGCGTGCTTCCATCAGTCATCAGACTTGGCCGGCGGATGTAGCGGTACGCCATCCATTATACTTCGGACTTGTCCGCCAGGCCTGGCTCCACCTTTGACGGTGCCAGCGTCAAGAGGATTGCGCGTCTCGCAACTTGGCGAGACGAGGCTGGTGCCGAGTGCGCGGGTGGCAGAGCTTTGGGTTTTCACTGCACTGAACTAAGGCTTGGCCGATACGAGGGCGATGCGAGCCGAACAACAGGGAATAGATCTGGCGCGTTCCTGGTCCAATTTCTCTCGATGGATGGGTGCTTTTTGGAGGGCAACGTCATGCCCAGGCTCTCTCAGAGTCAGCAAGTGGTCCTTGGGGCTTGTGACTGTCAACGTGGTCACCCGCGCCACGCCATGGGTTGTGTCTCGGGGCTCACGAGCATTTCGTGTAGAGATGTGCACGATATGGTTTTTTCTAGTGTGCAAACTACAAACCTTTGCAAATGGAATGTTAGTTAAGTCTGCCGAATGAGAGCGGAATGATGTGAAGATAGCCAACAGGCAGAGTCTTCTGGCTAAGGTACCTACCTACCTGAGGCACCTACCTACCTACCTTAGAGTGGCCATCCCAGGCCTGGCTGGCTGGACCTTTCTCTCTCTGACTCGCTGAAGGGTTCCCCACCAGATTCGCGTCCCTTCCTTCTCCCCCCCTTCGCTGCACTCAGCCCGGAAACTGCTACCCCGCCATCCATGCGACACGCACCTCCAGCGCCTTACCGCCCTAAATATGACCTATGACATATGACGCTCGGCCACTGTGCTGCGCAAAACGGACTTCACCTCAGGTAAAGGTTGCCTACCTCCCCTTGCCTGTCTGGCTTTGCCCAAAACCTTCCGCCCACCTACCGTCTACCGTCTGCGTCAATACCTGTTCGTCTCCATCATCACAGACTTGAGAGGCGACTCAATCTGCTTTTCTTTCGATTACGACGGGTGTTTGCTTACGCTGTTGCGAGTCATATAGATTGCGCTCACATACATCCATTCCCCCACCTCTCAGTACCTACCGGTACATACAATAGAAATCTAACACCGCCAGAAGTATATTCACCGCACCCTAGCAATCTCGCCGACAGTACGGACTTGGATTCGACTCTTTGGATAGCATACAAACGACGAGGCGCGTTTCAATCAGCGATCAATTTCCCACAAACACGCACAGCCGCCGGCGATGGCTTCGAAAGTCCCTGTACCGCCGACCAACGGCGACGCTGTGGCCCCCGGGACAGGCGCTGGCGCTGAGCTCCCCAACAGCTCTACGACCAGCCTCCAATCCTATAAAGCCCCGCCTTCTGGTCAGACTCTGACCGGCAAGCAAGAGCACTGTGCGCGACCACCCCTCCGATAACTCGATGGCAGTTTGAAACCAGAAGAGACTTAAGAGCTAATGAGTTTGTTGTAGACCTCAAGCGCGAACTTATATCGGACCAGGTCAAGTACGAAATCTCGGAACTGAATTCCCCAACCGCTCTCAAGCGTTTCGGTGCCCCCTTCAAATCCGATTATGGCGAGGTCTCGCCTCTCGAATCCGAGCTGCCAATCCTGCGTTACATATTCGTCCACCATGTTCGCGACTTTCCTTTCCTTGACAAGGCGAGGGAAAAGGAGTTCTGGCAGGATAAGTTGCAAGTGGTAAGTGCTGGCACATTACCACCATCCCACACTGGCGCGTACTGACGCTTCGTTCTCCGCAGTTCCTCGAGTCTTTCGCCATGAAGAACATATCCTCCTCCGAAGATCGCCTCGAAGAAACCAAGCGCCGCAAGCTGGCTCTGAAAAGCCAGAAACTCGTTGAGTTGATGATGGTTTCAGGAGTCAAGACCTCCTCAGGGTTCGAAGAGCGCATTCGGTTTTCGGAAATTGAAGTTGTCGACAGCAACGCCATTGATACGGGTGTCATGCATACCTTGCCGGAAGGAAACTACATCAATGGCTGGGATGTGAATGTTGCTGGTGTTCATATCACTCAGGTGAAGAAGACCATTAGACATCACAAGCATGCAGTAAGTTAAAGCTGTGTCTGTTTTTGAATGGCCGGGAGCTGATGAAGACAAAGGAATTCTTGCTGCGTATCAAGAGGAAGGGGGAGCTTGAGTTCTTCGTTGGCCGCCGCTATGGTGACTTTAGCAGGTTGTATAAGAGACTTCGGATTGAACTGCCAGGCAAGGTTCTTCCTACATTGCCCAAGAAGAACAAGTCCGACACAACGACGAGTAGTATCTTCTCATCCATGACCAGTGGTAGCAAGGATGATGATGCATCGTCCTTTTCGTCAGTTTCCACTCAGATGACGAACCTCAAAGTGGGAGATGCCAGTGGCCAGAACCTTACGGTCCATGGTATGTACCTCCATCTTGCTCCGTTTCATCTGCCATGCTGACTTTGTTGCGAAACAGGCCACCGACGTCCTGGTTCCATTGCATCGACCGGACGCGGCTCACCACGCACTTCGACCGACGATAGGGCCAGGGCTCTGCTCGGCAAAAAGAGTGACACAGTCACATTGTGGAGAGAATCACAGCGAGTCTCTTTGCGGGCATTCATTCGCTCCTTGCTCGCAAATCCCCAGATCGCCCAGACGAAGGCAATGGAAGATTTCCTGACCAAGGACCAAATCACGCCAACCGATGAAGATGTGGACGATATCATGCGCCGGAAGGCCCTTGATGAGCAACGTATGGAGGAACAGAAGAAATTCTACGAAATCGCCAGGAAACGCGCGGCGGAACTTGACATCTACATGGAAGAGTAAGTCAACAAACAAAACGTTTCTGACCTATGCTAACGAGACTTGTCAGATTCCGACGTGAGATCGTGGAGCGTAACGGTTTGACCACGCTCTTCCAAAGAAATCAGGAAGAAGAGACATCGGCGACTGAGCATC